AATCTGTATGTAAGTCAGAACTGGCATCTAGTTTCAGCCGCTGTTGAAACTGATCAGTTTCAGCAGCGGCTGATGTCAGTTCCGACTTACATACAGATTCAACTTAAGAACAAACTTATAGTCCCTATCTTGTACGTAACCCGGGGTCTGCCTATATACAGATCTCTAGTATTAGATTCATACTATACAAAACATGACTTTTCTACAGGCTACAGGGCTGAAAGTACTTAAAGCTGTCTTTGAAACAGTCCAAAACATGTTTATGAAAAATGCAGGTTTTAAAAAAGAACTTGCATGTAAAACACAAGTCTCATAATGAGAATCTAGTTTACCTTTGCATAAATTGAAAGAAAGGGAAAGAAAAAAAAACAGCTACTCAAAATAGATGAATTGTATGGAATTCTGCATTGTTTTGTCAGTGACAGCCTATTGCAGGAACCCTTCAACACATACTGCCAGCGCTAAGCTATCTTGTGCTTAAGACAAGATACTCAGTTAAGAACAGGTCTTTTTTAATGGAAAGTTAGATTTTAAATTAGAAAATGACATGTTAGATAAATAGCAGCTCTGTTAAGACTACTATAGTGTGCGCGCTGAATGTACAATATAAAGCCAAAATACAGATGGAGTGGTTTCAAGTTTGAAGAAAGTTTAAAATCATTGCTCTAATATTGTGGGTTTGGAAGGCTTAGACAAGCAAAGGAACACTGTTAAAATATCTGGTTTCTGCTGGGTTGCTTTCTATTAGATTAGTGACAGACATACACATATAACTCCTTAGCTATATGTGTGGGTGTGTCCCAAAATTAAAAATTAAGCTTACTGTACTTTCATGGAGAACAGAAAATAAGTCAATATTGTACTACTCTTGCAGTAGTAATCTATATAGTTATATTTGTGTCTGAATGAATATACAGACTATATTACACACATTCACCAACCCCTATATGAAATGACATACGTAGGTAATATTTTGACTATAATGCAGATGCAATATTTTGAGAGCTAAAGAGACTTCTTCTTGAAATAAGGGGGAAAACCACACCTCAAATCCTTCTCCAGTAAGGATCTTTTCACATGATCAGTAGTGTTCCCTCTAATTGTTATGTCCATGTATGGAATGAATTGTGTTATGGGTGCCAAGAAGGAGAAGATGTGTGACAGATCATCCCCATATTGGCGCCCTAACAAAATTCATTCTGCACATGAACAATCTATGGTGGTGGTGGAGCTGAGGAGCTTGGGGGTGGGAGAGGGCTTTGGGTTGGGGGGATGAAGGCTCAGCTAGCGGTGCATGCTCTGGGATGGAACTGGGAATTTGGGGTATAGGAGCAGGCTCTGGGGTGGCACCAAGAGATTTGGAGTGTGGGAGGGGACTCAGGGTAGTAGGATGGCATGTGGGATCTGGGTGGGAATTAATGTGTGGGAGGAGAAGAGTGTGGGGAGAAATACAGAGGAAAAAAAATCAGCTATAGAGAGGGGTGACAAAGGACCTGAAAAGGCATTGACTGGATGGGATCACACAGAAGGACTGCAGGAAGCTATCTTCACTGCTTTTTGAGTGATCAAGAACAAGGCAGAAGCAGGGTGGGTGGGCACACAGCAGTACTTCTGGGGGACTTCTGCAACACTGCACAATGCAGAAATGGGCTGTGGAGATGTTGGCCGCTACTATGGGTTGCTGAACCCAGCAGAGCCCAGCTTACAAATAGAAGGAAAATGCTGGAGTATAGGAAGATAGGAAGCCGAGGCAGAGAGTGTGTCTGGGTCAGGGAGAAAGGTGTGGCTGGATTTAGGGACACCCAGAGTACGGGTTTGCATCTCTGATCATCTTGGTTAAATCATGGATGGAACTATCCTCCATGAATTTATCTAATTCTTTTTCAACCTAGTAACGTTTTTTGCCTTCATGCATCTTCAAGAAACGAGTTCCATAGGTTGACTGAGCATTGTGCGATGACATTTTTCTTAAGTTTTTTTTTTAAATGTGCTGTTTATTAATTTCACTGGATGACTCTTGGTTTTTATATTATATTAAGGGGTACATAACGCTTATTCACATTCTCTACATCATTTGTGATTTCATAGACCTCTATCATGTTATTTTTAGTAGTCTCTTCTCTAAGGTGAATACTGCCAGACTATTTAATCTCTCTTGTTCTGTGTTCCTAATATTTTTTGTTGGCCTTCCCTGTAACCTTTTCAATTCTAATACATCCTTTTTGAGATGCATACTTCATACTGTATTCAAGGTGTAGGTATGCCATCGACTTATAAAGACATCATATTTTCTGCATTTTTGTCTATCCCTTAATGAATGGTTCCTATCACTGTTCATTTTTTGGACTGACACAGCACATTGAGTAGATGTTATCAGAGAACTACACATGATGACACCTAGAGCTCTTTCTTGAGTGGTTATAGCTAATATAGACCCCATTATTTTGTAAATATAAATGGGATTATGTTTGCAATATGGATTATTTGGCACTTAGTAAGTATTGAATTTTATCTGCCATTCTGTTGCCCAGTCAAAAATAAAACAATGTATAACATTAGAGCTGACAAGTTCACTCAGTCCTACTTCTTGTTCACTCAATTTCTCATACAAACAAAAAATCTCAGAGGGGTAGCTGTGCTAGTCTGTAAATATAAAAACACGTAGTTCTGTGTAAGAATGTTAAATTGCGGTTAATTTACTAGTCGAGTAGTCGATAGAATTTCCATTGACTACTCGACTTGTCGACGTACATTTCAAAGAAGGAATGTGGAAGTGCCTAAGAGCCCCCACTGCAGCCTGGGGCCATCAGGCAGTCCTGCTAACTCCGGGCTGCACACAGGCGTGCCAGCTTTGAAATGTACAAGAAAACAGTGTCATGAGCTTTCATGAGTAAAATTCACTTCATCGAATCCGACTCATCTACCCAGGAAAGCTCTTGACATAATATATTTTTGTTAGTCTCTAAGGTGCCACAGGACTACTTGTTGATCATACAAGTAAGTTTGGTTACATTTGCAGGAGATAATGCTGCCTGCTTCTTGTTTACAAAGTCACCTGAAAATGAGAGCAGGCTTGGCATTGTTGTAGCTGGTGCTGTAAAATATTTACACACCAGATGTGCTAATATTTTAAATGGCCCCTTCATGCTTCAACCACCGTTCTAGAGGACAATGCATCTATGCTGATGCCGGGTTCTGCTTGATAACACACCAAAGCTGTGCGGACCAACACAAACTCGTTTTCATCCTCAGAAGCTTGATTTTCTTTTCTGGTGGTTTGGGTTCTGCAACTTCTGAATGAGAGGATTCCTCTTTTCAGACTTCTAAAAGCATGCTTCACAACTTCCCCCCCAAGATTCTGCAAGGCACATTGGGGTCTTAATCCTTGGGTTGAGTGCTGTAGCTATGTTAAGAAATTTCACATTGGTGCCATCTTTGTATTTTGTCAACTCTGTAGTTGAAGTGTTCTTGAAATGAACATGAGACAGAAGTATGTAGCACTTTAAAGACTAACAAGTGCTACGTACTTCTGTCTTTTGTTTCAGCTAAACCAGACTAACACGGCTGCATCTCTGTCACTATTTGAAATAAACATGGCATCATTCAAGACTGCTATAATCAGGCCCAGATTAATGCACGGGCTTTATGGGCTGCAGCTCAGGGCCTCAGGCTAAAGTGGAACCCACAAAAAACATCTCTGAGCTGCCAAAGTCCAGATTTTTTTGTCCCCCTCCCTCCATTAGCCTGGAATCTGGGCTAATTACAGCCCCTGAATTAATCCAGCCCTGCCTGGCAGGTGGGGGGGGGCGGGGAAAAGGGAGGGGCGGGGAATGGTGGTCAGTGGGAGCAGCCGTCGTCGTGCTTGCAGGTGAGGACAATGTGTGATGTCACCTGCTCCCCCAGGGCCGCAGCCAGGGACATGCCAGCAGCTTCCAGGTGCAATGTAGGGCCAATGGCAGGCAGGGGAAAGCTCCAAGCCACTGCGCGAGTGCCCCCCCCCCAAATGTGATCATTTTGTTTTAAATTAGGAAAAAAGACAACTATACAGGGGGTCCACATAATCTAACAGATGCGGGACCACAGAAAAATGAATTAAACTAGATCAGAGCAAGAGACAAACAATTCTCTTCCAAGGAGTTCAGTCACACATTTAATTAACGCATTATTTTTTAACAAGCATCATCCACATGGAAGCATGTCCTCAGGAATGGAGGCCAAAACCTAAAGGGGAATATGAATATTTAAAATATCCAGCACTTAAATATCTTCCAATGCCTGCTGCAACAACAACCTTTTCTTACTTTCAGGTAACAATGTGAGCAAGAAAGCAGGCAGAATTACCTCTCGCAAATGTAAACGAACTTGTTTCTCTGAGGGTATGGCTAGACTGCGGGTTTTTTTGGGGATACTGGAGGTATCCCGAAAAAAACTCTGCCATGTCCAGAGAACGTGTTTGCTCTTTCACTTCTTTTTGCGGAAGAGCAAATGCGCTCTTTCTAAAGCCCCTGTATTCCTTGTTCGACGAGGAAGAAGGGAGCTTTAGAAAGAGGGGTTTTTCCAAAATTTGGAAATTTCTAGATGGGCCAAATTTCGGAAAAGCCTCTTCCGACGAAAGTATTGGAAAAAGACTCAGCATTTTGCATATATTTTTGCAATAGTTCGTCACAGTCTAGACGCACCCTAAGCAACTGCCTGAACAAGAAGTAGGAGTGAGTTGATTTGTGGGCTCTCGAGTTTTATATTGTTTTGTTTGTGTGTGCAGTTATGTAACTAAAGAAAAAGTTACCTTTGTAATTTGCATATTCACGAAGAAGAGATTGCACCACAGTATTTATATGAGGTGACCTTAAAAATACTCTTTCTTTTGTTGATCATTTTTACAGTGCAAATATTTGTAATAAAAATAATATAAAGTGAGCAGTGTACAATTTGTATTTTGTGCTGTAATTAAAATCAATATATTTTAAAATGTAGAAAAAAATCTAAAATATTTAATAAATTTCAATTAATATTCTATTTTAATAGTATAATTAAAACTGTGATTAATTGCAATTTCTTAAGATCGAGATTAATTTTTTTAGTTAATTGCATGAGTTGACTGCGATTGACAGTCCTAATTAAAAAGTGACGCCACTTATTAGCAATCATCAGCATGCTGACTTAAAAACTTTTATTTAACCCCCCCCTCCCCAAATTTGTAATTTGGAGGGTAACAAAAAGTGTACAGGCAGTCCCCGGGTTACATGGATCCAACTTACATCGGATCCCTACTTACAAACGGGGTGAGGCAACCCCGCACTAGCTGCTTCCCCCCAGCAGACCAGGGAGACGTGGAGCGGCTTTTCTCAGCAGACACCTCAGCTTGAGAATAAAGGACTGAGGGAAGTGAGGTGTGGGAGAATAAAACTGAGCTCTGGAGAAATGTTTGGCTAGAGTTTCCCCTACAATATGTACCAGTTCCGACTTACATACAAATTCAACTTAAGAACAAACCTACAGTCCCTATCTTGTACGTAACCCGGGGACTGCCTGTACTTCATATGTAAGCTTTTGGAAGAGGTGCCACCTAAATCAACACAATTTTTCTTGTACAATAATTTTAGCTCCCTGCATCCAGTAAATTAGATACTTCCCACAGGTAGGGAAAAAGTCATCCCATTTAGATAGTTTATGTAGAGGAAAATCCAGTTAAGATTTTAGAATGGAGTAGGATTTCTATTGATATACTGTCCCATAGCGCAAACAGACCAGTTGAACGATTCCAATGGTATTAACTGAAATTTCAAATACGATTTGGATATTTTTGTAACAGTTTCTACTGTGCTACAGAAGACAGGCTGGAAAGGTTCATATGGAACGGACCTGAAGGAGGTTTCTTCGTACTTCTTCACTAAAAGCAACAGCCAATTTTATTAACAAAACCTAACATGGGGAAAGGGCTTCTAAAAGGCACATAACTGTAAAGGCACATTACCTTGCTGGATTCTCATCCTGGACAGATACAGGAGGCTTGTCAGTCAGCTTCTGTGGAGCAAACTGAGGTGAAGGGGACCTTGATGTCTCCATTGCAGGTTTCTGAAGGTAATGATGCTTTGCAGACAACACAGGTTCAAATTTAAGCTGTGCTTTCTCTTCTAAGTGCTGAGACACATTTTCAGTGGATGCTGTTTGCCGAAGCCTCTGAGTCTGAGTGCTGTTCAGTTTTCCATTGAATGCTGCAGGACTCTGAGTGAGAGAGGAGTAACCTGTAATTACCTCACCAGAGCGGGGGGAAATGGATTGTATGGGCTTTCTGGATACTGCCAGCAGAGATTCTGAAGAGGTGCTGAGTGATGGGGATTTGTCCTGGCACCTGTATTTATTATCTCGTTTGGGTGGGGGAGGTCTCTGAGGGGCAGGTCCACGTTTCTTGTTCAGCAACGTCACCTCTGTCCACTGACTTTCCTCTCCTCTGCTCTGTGGCAGACAGGATTGGTTCTCGTGCAATGTCGGCGGCTCAGAACAAGTGAGATGGGGCAAGCTGCAATCTTTGATTTTCTCATTCACGTTTTCTTGTGAGTATCTGTAATCACTGGGCAATGTCCCAGACCTTCCCCGACTCTCCTGAGACAAGACAATAGGTTCTCTGGTTTGAGATGGTCTAACAGATGCCTTCCATTTGTGTCCTAAATTTTGGTCCAGCTGAGCCCTTTGTTCTCCTGTGTTATCTTCTGGGACTCCTATATGAGCCTGCCTAGAAACACAAGAAGAATCATTACTTACAGAGCTATTATTTACTCCTGTGTATTGCCATAGAAATATTGGGAAGCTTGGGGACAGATTATATTTTCCACATAATATTAACTAACAGCAACAACCTACTTTAAAATATATGTAATATTGTATTTCTAATGTAATGTGATGAGCCAAAGCACAACATCCATCTAAATTAGGCTATGTTGTGTCGTGCAAAGTGACATAACGTTGAGTTAACCTGAGGCACTACTATGGCATATTTGAACATGCAAAAGTATTTTCTTCTAATTTTTATGTGAATTAAAAGAATGGTTTCCTTGTATAGCCTTCAACACTCAATTAAAATTGATTTTAATTTCCAACTAAGCAGAGTCTAATTAAATGCAGATTACCATACAAGTTCTCTGTATATTGTTTTAAAAAGGCACACTAGACATCATAATGCACAGCCCTTCATTCATATAGCAAAATTAACATAATTGTGGAAGTTAAATTTGAAGATAAAAATTACCAATGTACAATGAATACATATTGACAAAAGCATCACATTCACTTGTACTGATATGGTGAAGGAAGAGGGGGGAAAGGATGTATTTTAGAAACAGAAAAGACAGACTCAATATTTTGGATCAAGATCTATTTTAGGTTTAATACATAAATCAGATGGAGTCTTTGTCCCTACAGCATGAAGTACTGCTGTGGCCAACAAGTCCTCTCTCATCTTATACAAATGGTTTTGTTTTACTCCAAGTCTATATTTCTCTTTGCTTTGTAGTTGCCATGTTGAAGCAACTCAAGGCTGTTGTCAAGCAGAAGAGTACAGACAAGTTGTGCTCACCACAGAAAGGCAAATCAGAAAAGAAAGCGAGCAAAAGTACCTCTGAGACCCAGAAAGAAGGCAGGTTTGTTCTCTGCTTAGGGGAGGCTGAAGAGACACTGTGAGCTTAGAAAAGAAGCTGCAACAGAAAAGTAAAAGGCTTCAGAGTACATTATTTCATTTTTGCCACTGATGGTTTTATTATCTGTATCTGGAAATGAGACTGGGCAAGTATAAGAGGGACTACGAGTTTTCTTTAAAAAACACAACTGGATGGTTTGACCAATGAAACACAATAAAATGAAATCTGAAACCAACAGTTACACTGCCACTTTATCAGTCTAATGATTTCAACATGATTCTACAGTGGAAACCTCTCATTTACTGCAGGTATCACTTCCACAGGCATTACAAATTAGTACATACTCATAGAATCATAGAATACTAGGACTGGAAGGGACCTCGAGGGGTCATCGAGTCCAGTCCCCTGCCCTCATGGCAGGACCAAATACTGTCTAGACCATCCCTGATAGACATTTATCTAACCTACTCTTAAATATCTCCACAGATGGAGATTCCACAACCTCCCTGGGCAATTTATTCCAGTGTTTGGCCACCCTGACAGTTAGGAACTTTTTCCTAAAATGTCCAATCTAAACCTCCCTTGCTGCAGTTTAAGCCCATTGCTTTTTGTTCTATCCCCAGAGGCCAAGATGAACAAGTTTTCTCCTTCCTCTTTATGACACCCTTTTAGATATCTGAAAACTGCTATCATGTCCCCCCTCAATCTTCTCTTTTCTAAACTAAACAAACCCAATTCTTTCAGCCTTCCTTCATAGGTCATTTCTCTAGACCTTTAATCATTCTCGTTGCTCTTCTCTGGACCCTCTCCAATTTCTCCACATCTTTCTTGAAATGCGGTGCCCAGAACTGAACACAATACTCCAATTGAGGCCTGACCAGCGCAGAGTAGAGCGAAAGAATGACTTCTCGTGTCTTGCTCACATCACACCTGTTAAAGCATCCCAGAATCATGTTTGCTTTCATTTTTAAAAGGCAGCTTAAGATATGCTTATTTCTATTTTAACTTCCACATCTCAGAGTTTTCCTACCACCTCTCTCCCAAAGTGCTTTACTTTAAAAGAGAGGGTGGAAAATCGCAGTATAGGCAATATAAAGATCATCCATTATTAATTTTTTTTTTAGTAAGGGATCTAATCTCCATTTTTCCATAAGGAACACTGAGCTTTGTCCCTTGGACCAAGTACATCATATTGGAAATGTTATGTTGTGTCACAACATGAAAACTCAATAACTGAATCAAATAATCACTGTCTACTCACTGTGCTATCTCGAGACAAAGTAGAAAAATTCAAACTGCGTGGGTGCCATTGCACATTTTGTTCAACAGCTGAAGATGCTGTTTTCCCAAGCAGATCACAGTGGGAGGTAAAACAATGACTCAGTTACCTAAGGTTTGTAATGCTGATAAGCGTAGTACTATAATTCTGTTCTTGTATTTTACTAGGATGCCCTAACATAGGATCCTTTCCTTCTAAGCCTGATAAAGCTGACAGTGTCAGAAAGAGACGAAAGGCTATTTCAAGCAAAAAAGGTCATTCCAGGCATGACAAAGTAGGAAATTTAAGTAATATCTGTCTGAAGCCTATTCGTGCCTCAGTTTCCCTATATGCTACACGAGGGGTTGGCAACCTTTCAGAAGTGGCGTGCCAAGATTTAACGAATTCACTTCTATTTACAGGTCTTTGTGCCGGGGTGAGGAGGGGGCAGGGACAGGCTGGGTATGGTGACCATATTTACTGAACCAGCTGTAGTTAGGGTTTAATTTAAATTATGAAACAGGCTAAGCATTTTAACTTTCTCATGTTAGTTTATCAAACTTCATTTTACAAAGTAAAATATTAATTTATGTCCAACAAAAAAGGTTTCAATGTTTTCTTTATTTATGGCAGGGGTAGGAAATATTTTTTTTGGGGGGGAGGGAGGGGACTGACCCAGAAATAATCAGTTGGGGACCACACAAGTGAGAAACGAAAAAACTCCTCCTCAAACCCCCAAACCTCACTGATGTGGCCCCCAATTGAAACACCTCACTCCTCTGGTGCTCCAGCCCCACAGGGTGAGGAGAAGGGACAGGGAGGACTGAGGTTCAGGGTTTCCCATAGGCCAGATTTACTTTTCTGGGGTTCCGGAGTTAGTGGATTTTATGGACCCCCTTAGGCTCTGGGATAGCGACAAAAATGAGGGGTTCAATGTGTGAGACAGGGCTGCCAGTGAGTGGGATAGGGATGGGATGCAGGATCTGGGAGGGAGGTGGGATGCTGAAGGGGGAAAAGTTGCAAGATTTGGTTGGGAGGTAAGGTGCAGAAGCAGATGTGGAGTAGGGTGTCTAGACAGGTGGAGGGAGCAGGTGAAGGGGGAGAAGTTGCAAGATTTGGTTGGGAGGTAAGGTGCAGAAGCAGATGCGGAGTAGGGTGTCTAGACAGGTGGAGGGAGCAAGAGTAAGGAAGGGTGTAATGTGTGACCAGGAGAGAGGGTGTAGGACCAGGATAGGGGTAAGGTGTCTGGCCAGGAGGGAGGGTGCAGGAACAAGAGAGGGTGTCAGAGAAAGCTAGAGGTGTGGGGTTTTGGCGCGGCTGGGAAATGCGTGAGGGGGATTGGAGTTTGGGGGTTTGGGCATGAGGGGGGACACTTACCTGGCTTTATGCCCTCTCGCAGCAACTGCCGTGGCCATGGGTTGGGAGTTTTTGGAGGTTTTTTGCTTCTCATTTGTGTGGTCCCCAACTGATTATTTTGTGGGTCAGTGGCCCCTGACCTAAAAAAGGTTCCCTACAACTTGGTGGACTCTGAACAAACTGAAATTGACTATGCTTTAGTCTTTGTTCCTCTATGCCAGTTTAAGGACTTCCTCTGCTGTTACGAGAGGTAAGAGTAAGCCAGTGTGCTGCTCTGGTGAGATGCAGCTGGCAAACTGGGGCGCTTGGATGCAGGAGACAGCAGGGTGTGCTCCCTACCGGGTTCTCAGGGCTTCCTGCAGGCTGCTGCATTAAGCAGCATGCAGCCAGGCATGGTGAAAGGGGCTGGCTGGGGGTACAAGTCTCCCATACGGGACTGACCCTGCCACGAGCCCGACTGCCCCGGTACCATTTTGGGAAGGCAGGGAGGGGGTGGTAGTGGCTGTAGCTGCATGTACCAGGGACTCTGGTACTCTTCTTCCCTTTCCCCTGAATATCAGGGAGAGAGGGGAAAGTGCACAGCATGTGTACATTCCGTTCACTCCCAGCTGCTGAGGGGAGGGGCACAGAAGTAATTCACACATGCTGTGTGCTTTCCCTTAGTCCCCTGATAGTTCTTTCCCCTCACTTTTGACTGTCTCATGAAGTGTTTCATCACATAAATAAAGGGATTCTAATTGGGGGAAAAGCCCATGAAATAAATATAGTTATTGAAACTACTTTGGAAATACCAAACAGTGAAACGAGTAGTTGCTTATGCAACTGAAGATTGTTAAAATGATGCCCACTCAATCATTGTTAAGGTTTTGAGAACACAGCCACTACAATCCCAGGTTTTCAGTCATATACAAACACTATTACGGGCTCAAACTTGATAAACAAAATCTATTTTTTTTGTTTTTGTGCAATTAAAAATTCAAGTGATGTTTTAAACTTAAATATTGCACCAAGAAAAGGTGATCAGGCTTCGATGGCATTTTCACGCTTGTTATTCAAAAATGACATTTTAGAAGGTTTTTTGACAGTACTATGGGTCTATAATGCATTTAGCACAATCTTCAGAAGTTTCATAGCTGGGGCACCTGTGCCAGTGCTTGGAACTCTGCACCTTACAGGGCTTGGGCCCTGCTCCTTCCTACTGAAGCCCTGAGCAAGGCAGAAGCCTGAGAATCCTCTCCCTACTAGGCAGAAAGCCCTACCAGGGTTCCCACTAAGCTGTGTGGCTGCACAGCTGCCTAATAAGCCTTGAGTTGGGGCTCAGGGCTGCATACACAGAGTGCTGTGGGCTGGAGGAGCATTCTTTCCTCCACCCCTGGCAGCTCCCTCAAAAATCCCCAAAAGATTCAGGGCATGATTTTCTCTTCACACTACTCTAGGCATAGTAGAGAACATAACAGTCACACTGGGTCAGACCAATGGTCCATCTAGCCCAGTATTCTGTCTTTGACAATGGTCAATGCCAGATGCTCCAGAGGAAATGAACAGAAAGGGTCAATTTCAAGGTGCCAAGAAGCAGATGTAAGTTATATTTAAAAAAAATTGTGTATTTACTCTTTGTTAAGGACCCTTTTCCCAACTACAGTGGAATGACTTTAGTGTAAATGAGAATCACGCCCTCGTGTTTGGATTATGCCTGAGCCAATAACCCTTATTCAAATATAGTCAGATCTTGCAACACTGACTTAGACAATCAGAGTTTCCCTATTGAGTTCAACAGAAACAGCGCTCATCTTTTAAATAATCGCAATGACTTTAATATTCACATTAGTAAGGGCTGCACGATTAGGCCTATGAAAAATAGCAAAATTGTTCCTCTCCTAGGTAACTGATGGACAGATTGATTTTTTTCTACTCACTTGTGATTCCAGATAGCCCTTTAAGCTCTCTGATTTATTTTTATTAACATAGGTCATAACATAAAGGTACAGTTGCATACAAAGAAAAAAAAATCAAAATCACAGCATAAGAGGGTCCAAAGATGTGAATTACATGCACAGCTGCAGTCAGTCTGCAAAGTCTATATTGAACTTGACATGCAAATCAGAACTTTATCTACAGGTGCAAGTGAACAGGACAGAGTGAACTACCAAGCTGACACATTTATACATCCAACAAACATTTGTGTTTTAAAAGTCCTGATGAGATGTTCTTAACAATCCTTTGACTTGGGCCACAATTAAGGCTTTGATAAATAGTACTGTCAGTCTCCAAAATTAATTGAAAAGAAAAAACATATTAAAAATGTTACAACACAGATAACTTAAAGGATGTTGCATTTCCAATTGGTGGGATAAAGCAGTGGGATTACATATGTACCTTTATGCAAAGTTTATGTGAAAGTAAATACACATTTGAAAGTGGCACACAGGATGGTTATAGGAAA